AAACAAATTAATAAGCAAATAAAAAAAACAATTTGAAAACAGTAATAATAAACAAACGAAAAAAATATATATGTAAAAAGTACGAGTTTAAAGGAAGTTCTTTAAAATGAATTTGAAAGGGAATTAGACTAGTTAAGTCCTTTCCTTTTGACCCCCCATCACCCCCCCCCCCCCTATCTAAAGCAGGTACTGGGCGGAGTCAAGTCAGTTTAAACACCAACGCCCCTCGTTAAAAAGACCTCATACTTTTCAGATATCATCTCTTCAATGTACTTATCTACTATCTAATTACAACCGTGTTAATTTTGATTACTGACTGCCAGGCTTGAATATCGCAAATCAGCCAAACGTCTCATTATAACTGCATAGACGAGGCGAGAGAACTGGATATGGCATCCCTCCTTTCCTGAACTGAGGCCGTCCTGTTGTGAAAGGGAGGGTATATAGTCGCGGGTCTCGGCTGGACCGTCACACTCGCCTCTCCTTCCCTCAGCCATGGCGTCCAAACAGGTATGTGAGGAATAGGTCTTGGAAAAGGGAAAGGAATTGCTATTGTTCCTCTCAAAGGACATATATAGAGAGATATAGTTATGTGATTAGTAGTATATGCTTTAGTTCCAAACCTAAGGTGATTACGTTACTGCAGTCTAAAAATATATAATAATGTTTATACTTTTGTGACTATCTGAATAGTACGCAGAAAGTGAATAACTTCATTAGGGAATTCGATATTTATATGAGCGTTAATTCCCTTCGTCCCCATTTCAGCTTCTGATCCTGAGCGTGGTCGTGGCTTCCGTCGCAGCGGCGCCTCAGTTCTTCAGCGACGATCAAGCGGTACGTAGCTTGTCCTGCTGTTGTCATTGGTTTCCATAGTAACATAATTAGGGAAGAGATTCAGTAGTTCACTATCTTACAGCCAATTCCTCACGACTTCGCATACGGCGTCGATGTGCCCGACACGGGAGATGCAAAGGAACACAAGCAGTCTGTCTCTCCTTCAGGAAGAACCGAAGGCGAATACCGATGGCTTCTTCCCAACGGCCTCTTCAAGTGGGTACAATTTCATTGTATTTTTTGTCATGTATGGGCACACATTTAGCGTGTACAACATAGATATAATGCAAGATATATGTTCTTGTCATGTCTCGGAAACTCTAAGTATTTGACTCTCCTGCAGCGTCGTCAGGTACTTCGTGGACGGCGACTCCGGATTCCAGGCCGAGGTGAGCGAGGAGCCAGGACCCGCCATCGGAAACTACTACACCAACTCCCTCAGCCAAGAGAGTTCCTCGGGAGCCGCGTCCGCCGCGGTGCAGGACTTCGCTCGCAGCTTCAGCGTGCAACAAGCCAGCGTCGGGAGGGCCGTGGATGTCATCAGCGCCCCGAGACCTACTCAGGTCTCCTTCTCTGCTCCGAGACCCAATCAGGTCTCCTTCTCTGCTCCGAGACCCAATCAGGTCTCCTTCTCATCTGCCCCAAGGCCAAGTCAGGTCTCCTTCTCTGCTCCAAGACCTAATCAGGTTTCTTTCTCTTCTGCCCAAAGACCCAATCTGGTCTCCTTTTCCTCTGCCCCGAGTCCCAATCAGGTCTTCTCTTCCGCCCCCGCCTTCAACGCTCAGCAACAGACGTTCGGCGGAGTCGTCGACGGAGGCTTCATCGACGGAGGAATAATCGACGGCGGCTTCATCGACGGAGGAATTATTGACGGAGGAATCATCGACGGAGGAATAATCGACGGCGGCTTCATCGACGGAGGAATAATCGACGGCGGCTTCATCGACGGAGGAATAATCGACGGCGGCTTCATCGACGGAGGAATAATCGACGGCGGCTTCATCGACGGAGGAATAATCGACGGCGGCTTCATCGACGGAGGAATAATCGACGGCGGCTTCATCGACGGAGGAATAATCGACGGCGGCTTCATCGACGGAGGAATAATCGACGGCGGCTTCATCGACGGAGGAATAATCGACGGCGGCTTCATCGACGGAGGAATAATCGACGGCGGCTTCATCGACGGAGGAATAATCGACGGCGGCTTCATCGACGGAGGAATAATCGACGGCGGCTTCATCGACGGAGGAATAATCGACGGCGGCTTCATCGACGGAGGAATAGTCGACGGAGGCTTCATCGACGGAGGAATAATCGACGGCGGCTTCATCGATGGAGGAATTATTGACGGAGGAATCATCGACGGCGGCGTCGTCAGCGGGGGATTCAGCGGCAACTTCGCCCCCACTTCCTTCGACAATTCTGCTGTGATTCTTGCGAGAAACAACAGGTTCACAGGATAAGTCTTGTCCTGCGCGCAACCCTGTCTTTCTCTCGACCGAGATGACATAGTCATTATGGTGCTCTGCAGGGAATAGTGTATATATATACATAGGAATAAATCTGAGCTATTTGGATACCATGCATAGTATTAAACTGCATATACTATCACCAGGATTTCTGGATAAATTCAAAATGGATTTGAATAGGACTTATTGATGCCAGATGCAAATAATCAGCTGCCCAAAGTGTACTTGTAATCTCCTATGTAATATTGAGAGAAAAGTGTTCGATTCTGTTTTACATTTACGTTTAATATATGTGTTGATAATAAACCGATTGTTTATATTTTTTGTATTTTTTATTTAGATCATGTCTACCCTTGGCCATTAGAATATATAGGCAGATATTGTCTATATATCCTGTACATACCTAGCAAACCCTATATACTGAACTGAGCAGTATTTAGAGATTTCCCCTTATTTATTGAACTACGTTTTAGACAAGTAATTAATGTCTAAAGTGTTGGGCATCGAAATTTCATTACAAGAATTATGAGAACCTCATTTGATGTGAGAACCTCAACCAATTTACATTCTAATTGAAGCTAAGAAATAAAGAGACACGCAACAAGAAGTCGAAAGTGTATATAACATGTTTATAAGTTTATAAGACCATATGAGGTTTACAAAGGTTCAGTGAGCTCTGGAAGTTCACGTGTCTTAGGGGTCGGCTGCATGAAATTGTAATACGAAACTTTAGAAGTCTGGATTCAGTATTTTTCATTAGCTAGCACTCGACTTTTGCTGTCATTTTTCCTGTTGCATTTTGTTAGGGGATAATCTCGTCTTCTGTCCCACTTAGATCGACATCAAATCCAGTAACTTTTAAATTGATCCTTATTTACAGTATGTTTATCTTCAAAGAGTTCTCTACTATTTATCTGTGCTTTGCCCAATCCTATAACAGTTCTCATTCCATTTGTTTTCACATACCTTGTCGATCAAAAACAAATGATATGGTTTATTCTATTGTTCTGATAGTTAAGGTATTATGAAAATATTGATAAGGGCCTTATATGAACAATAAGGAAAATTCTCTCGTGTGTGTGTGTGTGCGTGGGTATGCGTGTGTATGTGTGTGTGTCTGTGTGCCTGTAGGGGGCGACCTTCGGCTTTGTTTGTCTTTTTGTTGTTTTACTCGAGAACATATCGTAGACCAAAAATACTGACTACTAGGTATACCTGTACATTACCATAACCTTAAAATCCTGATGGTTGCTCTCACCTCCTGCTGCATGACCCGACGTGTCACATGCGTTCATGACCTTCCCCAGCTCCGTACAGATTCCACCGGGCGGCTGGTGACCCCAAACTGACCCCAGGTGTGAGGGTGCTTTCTCTCCCTTCAAAGGCTGCCTCATTTCACATCTGATCCGTTTAATGGGAAATGTGCATATATACACACACCAATATGCAAGCAGCAACAGGCTCATACTAATATGTGTGTTTTTGTGATTTATTCCAGATGCCTAATCATTCATTTCTCTCTTTTTATATAATTGTATATGTGTTTCTGGTTCCCTCTCGCTCTCTCTCCCTATATATATGTGTGTGTGTATGTATATATATACACATATATATGTATATATATGTATTTATATACACACCTGTATGTTTGTGTGTGTATATATATGTGTGTGTGTGCGTGTATATATGTGTATGTGTGTGTGTGTATATGTGTGTGTATATATATATATGTGTGTGTGTATATATATGTGTGGGTGTGTGTATGTATATATAGGTATATGTATATATATGATTTTTAAATTCAAAAAATAAATATATTGAGAGAGAAAGAGACAGATAACGAGACACAGGGAGATAGACAGACAAACAGATATCTAGACAGACAGAGAGAAAAGGAAGAGATAGAGAAAGAGAAGGTGAAAGGGAGATGGAGAGAGAGAGAGAGAAGGAAGAGACAGATAGAGGAGAGAGAGAGAGAGAAGGATGGGGGAAGGGAGATAGAGAGCGAAAGCGGAAAAACGAGAGACAGAAAGACAGCGAGAGAAAAAGATTATGTGAGTGACAGACTACTAGAAAAAAATATACCCTGTATCGTTTTCCTCAAGCTTTAATACTTAATATAATGTTAGATTTTCCTTTCTCGTAATTTAGTATTATGGTTATGATGGAGGAAAGTTTCTGCTGAGATTTCGTGTCGTTTGCATGAGTATTTTCTTAATGATTGTTAAATAGACTTGGCGCAGCTAGGCGCTCTAGAAATCATGCAACGTTTTCGATTTTGCTAAACATAAACCTAAAAAAGGCAACAAATACGAGTTTAAGGAAAAATTCTCGAAATGTTTAGTGTTTCGTCCTTTTCGTTTTTTTTAATCCCTTTCTTCCTCACCCCTCAACCCCCTCACCCTCCATCCAGGTAGTAGGCGGGTTATGTAGGTTTATAAAACATTTTAACATGTAGAGATTTCTGCAGTTATTAGTTTACCTATTACTTAAATCTTTGTCTTTTAATTGCTGTATATCAATAAAAAATATAACCCATCTAGGCATAATTTTCAACCGACATAATACGAAACGCGAGAGCTGGATATGGCATCCCTCCTTTCCTGAACTGAGGCCGTCCTTCTGTGAAAGGGGGGTATATATTCGCTGGTCTCAGCTGGACCGTCACACTCACCTCTCCCTCCCTCAGCCATGGCGTCCAAACAGGTGAGCGAGGACTATAGCTTAAAGAGAGGAGGGCACAGGGAAACTCTTGTTCCTATGTAGCCTTCAACACACGCATTCTATCTGTGTGTACCTGAATAGTTAAAGATATTTAGGGATATTAACACATATTAGCAAAGGTGCTAATAGCTGTTGAAAAAAATCTAAATAGTATTATATGTGAAAAGCTGAAGAGTGAATGATACGTATATTAAAGACATGTTCATAAGAGGGATTACTCTCTCTATTTCAGCTTCTGATCCTGAGCGTGGTCGTGGCTTCCATCGCAGCGGCGCCTCAGTTCTTCAGCGACGATCAAGTGGTACGTGGCTTGTCCTGGTGTTTTCATTGGTTTCCATGATAACAGAATAAGGGAAGAGATTCAGCAATTCACTGTGTTACAGCCTATTCCGCACGACTTCGCATACGGCGTCGAGGTGCCCGATACGGGAGATGCAAAGGAACACAAGCAGTCTGTCTCTCCTTCAGGAAGAACCGAAGGCGAATACCGATGGCTTCTTCCCAACGGCCTCTTCAAGTGGGTACAATTCCAATGTGATTTTTGTCATTTATGTGCACACATTAATTGTCAGGTGTACAGTATAGATATCATGCAACACATAGGTTCACGTCATGTCTCGGAAATTCTAAGTGTTTGACTCTCCTGCAGCGTCGTGAGATACTTCGTGGACGGCGACTCCGGATTCCAGGCCGAGGTGAGCGAGGAGCCAGGACCCGCCATCGGAAACTACTACACCAACTCCCTCAGCCAAGAGAGTTCCTCGGGAGCCGCGTCCGCCGCGGTGCAGGACTTCGCTCGCAGCTTCAGCGTGCAACAAGCCAGCGTCGGGAGGGCCGTGGATGTCATCAGCGCCCCGAGACCTACTCAGGTCTCCTCTGCTCCGAGACCCAATCAGGTCTCCTTCATATCTGCCCCAAGGCCAAGTCAGGTCTCCTTCTCTGCTCCAAGACCTAATCAGGTCTCTTTCTCTTCTGCCCAAAGACCCAATCTGGTCTCCTTTTCTCCCCCGAGACCTAATCAGGTCTTCTCTTCCGCCCCGAGTCCTAATCAGGTCTTCTCTTCCGCCCCGAGTCCTAATCAGGTCTTCTCTTCCGCCCCCGCCTTCAACGCTCAGCAACAGACGTTCGGCGGAGTCGTCGACGGAGGCTTCATCGACGGAGGCTTCATCGACGGAGGAATAATCGACGGAGGAATCATCGACGGCGGCGTCGTCAGCGGGGGATTCAGCGGCAACTTCGCCCCCAGTTCCTTCGACAATTCTGCTGTGATTCTTGCGAGAAACAACAGGTTCACAGGATAAGTCTTGTCCTGCGCGCAATCCTGTCTTTCTCTCGACCGAGACGACATAGTCATTATGGTGCTCTGCAGGGAATTTATATATATACATAGGAATAAACCTGAGCTATTTGGATACCATGCATAGTATTAAACTGCATATACTATCACCAGGATTTCTGGATAAATTCAAAATGGATTTGAATAGGACTTATTGATGCCAGATGCAAATAATCAGCTGCCCAAAGTGTACTTGTAATCTCCTGTGTAATATTGAGAGAAAAGTGTTCGATTCTGTTTAACATTTATGTTTAATATATGTGTTGATAATAAACCGATTGTTTATATTTTCTGTATTTTTTATTTAGATCATGTCTACCCTCGGCCATTAGAATATATAGGCAGATATTGTCTATATATCCTGTACATACCTAGCAACCCTATATACTGAACTGAGCAGTATTTAGAGATTTCCCCTTATTTATTGAACTACGTTTTAGACAAGTAATTAATGCCTAAAGTGTTGGGCATCAAAATTTCATTACAAGAATTATGAGAACCTCATTTGATGTGAGAACCTCAACCAATTTACTTTCTAACTGAAGCTAAGAAATAAAAAACCCTCAACAAGAAATCGAAAGTGTATATAACATGTTTATAAGTTAAAGACCATATGAAGTTTACGAAGGTTCAGTGATCTCTGAAGTTCACGTGCCTTAGGGGTCGCCTGCATGAAATTGTAATAAGAAACTTTAGAAGTCTGGATTCAGTAGTTTTCATCAGCTAGCACTCGACATTTGCTGTCACTTTTCCTCTCGCATTTTTTGAGGGATAATCTCTTTCCCACTTAGACCGACATCAAATCAAAATAGTTAAAGTAAGTAAATTGTGTGTCTGTGCCTGTAAGGGGCGACCTTCTGCTTTTTACTTGAAAACATCGTAGACCAAAAATACTAACAACGAGGTATACCTGTACATTGCCATAACCTTAAAATCCTGATGGTTGCTCTCACCTCACGCTGCATGACCCGACGTGTCACATGCGTTCATGACCTTCCCCAGCTCCGTACAGATTCCACCGGGCGGATGGTGAACCCAAACTGACCCCAGGTGTGAGGGTGCTTTCTCTCCCTTCAAAGCCTGCCTCATTTCACGTCTGATCCGTTTAATGGGAAATGTGCATATATATACACACAACAATATGCAAGCAGCAACAGGCTCATACTAATATGTGTGTTTTTTGTGATTTATTCCAGATGCCTAATCATTCATTTCTCTCTTTTTATATAATTGTATATGTGTTTCTGGTTCCCTCTCGCTCTCTCTCCCTATATATATGTGTGTGTGTATGTATATATATACACATATATATGTATATATATGTATTTATATACACACCTGTATGTTTGTGTGTATATATATATGTGTGAGTGCGTGTATATATGTGTATGTGTGTGTGTGTATATATATATGCGTGTGTGTATATGTATATATAGGTATATGTATATATATAATTTTTTTAATTCGAAAAATAAATATATTGAGAGAGAAAGAGACAGATAACGAGACACAGGGAGATAGACAGACAAACAGATATCTAGACAGACAGAGAGAAAAGGAAGAGATAGAGAAAGAGAAGGTGAAAGGGAGATGGAGAGAGAGAGAGAGAAGGAAGAGACAGATAGAGGAGAGAGAGAGAGAGAAGGAAGAGATAGATAGAGGAGAGAGAGAGAGAAGGATAGGGGAAGGGAGATAGAGAGCGAAAGCGGAAAAGCGAGAGACAGAAAGACAGCGAGAGAAAAAGATTATGTGAGTGACAGACAACTAGAAAAAAATATACCCTGTATCGTTTTCCTCAAGCTTTAATATTTACTATAATGTTAGATTTTCCTTTCTCGTAATTTAGTATTATGGTTATGATGGAGGAAAGTTTCTGCTGAGATTTCGTGTCGTTTGCATGAGTATTTTCTTAATGATTGTTAAATAGACTTGGCGCAGCTAGGCGCTCTAGAAATCATGCAACGTTTTCGATTTTGCTAAACATAAACCTAAAAAAGGCAACAAATACGAGTTTAAGGAAAAATTCTCGAAATGTTTAGTGTTTCGTCCTTTTCGTTTTTTTTTTAATCCCTTTCTTCCTCACCCCTCAACCCCCTCACCCTCCATCCAGGTAGTAGGCGGGTTATGTAGGTTTATGAAACATTTTAACATGTAGAGATTTCTGCAGTTATTAGTTACCTATTACTTAAATCTTTGTCTTTTAATTGCTGTATATCAATAAAAAATATAACCCATCTAGGCATAATTTTCAACCTGCATAATACGAAACGCGAGAACTGGATATGGCATCCCTCCTTTCCTGAACTGAGGCCGTCCTTCTGTGAAAGGGGGGTATATATTCGCTGGTCTCGGCTGGACCGTCACACTCGCCTCTCCTCCCTCAGCCATGGCGTCCAAACAGGTGAGCGAGGACTATAGCTTAAAGAGAGGAGGGCACAGGGAAACTCTTGTTCCCATGTAGCCTTTAACACACGCATTCTATTTGTGTGTACTTGAATAGTTAAAATATATTTAGGGATATCAACACATATTAGCAAAGGTGCTAATAACTGTTGAAAAAATCTAAATAGTACTGTATGTGAAAAGCCAAAGAGTGAATAATACGTATATCAAAGACATTTATAAGAGGGATTATTCTCTCTATTTCAGCTTCTGATCCTGAGCGTGGTCGTGGCTTCCATCGCAGCGGCGCCTCAGTTCTTCAGCGACGATCAAGTGGTACGTAGTTTGTCCTACTGTTGTCATCTGTTTCCATAGTAACATAATTAGGGCAGAAATTCAGCAATTCACTGTGTTACAGCCAATTCCTCACGACTTCGCATACGGCGTCGAGGTGCCCGATACGGGAGATGCAAAGGAACACAAGCAGTCTGTCTCTCCTTCAGGAAGAACCGAAGGCGAATACCGATGGCTTCTTCCCAACGGCCTCTTCAAGTGGGTACAATTTCATTGTAATTTCTTCCATGTATGGGCACACATTTATTATCAGGTGTACGGTATAGATATCATGCAACACATATGTTCTCATCATGTCTCGGAAACTCTAAGTGTTTGACTCTCCTGCAGCGTCGTCAGGTACTTCGTGGACGGCGACTCCGGATTCCAAGCCGAGGTGAGCGAGGAGCCAGGACCCGCCGTCGGAAACTACTACACCAACTCCCTCAGCCAAGAGAGTTCCTCGGGAGCCGCGTCCGCCGCGGTGCAGGACTTCGCTCGCAGCTTCAGCGTGCAACAAGCCAGCGTCGGGAGGGCCGTGGATGTCATCAGCGCCCCGAGACCTACTCAGGTCTCCTTCTCTGCTCCGAGACCCAATCAGGTCTCCTTCTCATCTGCCCCAAGGCCAAGTCAGGTCTCCTTCTCTGCTCCAAGACCTAATCAGGTCTCTTTCTCTTCTGCCCAAAGACCCACTCTGGTCTCCTTTTCTCCCCCGAGACCTAATCAGGTCTTCTCTTCCGCCCCGAGTCCTAATCAGGTCTTCTCTTCCGCCCCCGCCTTCAACGCTCAGCAACAGACGTTCGGCGGAGTCGTCGATGGAGGAATTATTGACGGAGGAATAATCGACGGAGGCTTCATCGACGGAGGAATCATCGACGGCGGCGTCGTCAGCGGGGGATTCAGCGGCAACTTCGCCCCCACTTCCTTCGACAATTCTGCTGTGATTCTTGCGAGAAACAACAGGTTCACAGGATAAGTCTTGTCCTGCGCGCAACCCTGTCTTTCTCTCAACCAAGTCGATATAGTCATTACGGTGCTCTGCAGGGAATGGTGTATATATATATACATGGGAATAAACCATGCACAGTATTAAACAGCATATGCTATCACCAGGATTTCTGGATAAATTCAAAATGGATTTGAATAGGACTTATTGATGCCAGATGCAAATAATCAGCTGCCCATAGTATACTTGCAATCTCCTGCGTAATATTGAGAGAAAAGTGTTCGATTCTGTTTTACATTTATGTTTAATATATGTGTTGATAATAAACCGACTTTATATTTTTTGTATTTCTTATTTAGATCATGTCTACCCTTGGCCATTAAAATGTATAGACAGATATTGTCTATATATCCTGCACATACCTAGCAAACCCTATATACTGAACTGAGCAGTATTTAGAGATTTCCCCTTATTTATTGAATTACATTTAGGACAAGTAATTAATGTCTTAAGTGTTGGACTTCAAAGTTTTATTACAAGAATTATGAGAACCTCATTTGATGTGAGAACCAACCAATTTACATTCTAATTGAAGCTAAGAAATAAAGAAACCCTCAACAAGAAATCGAAAGTGTATATAACATGTTTATAAGTTAAAGACCATATGAAGTTTACGAAGGTTCAGTGATCTCTGAAGTTCACGTGCCTTAGGGGTCGCCTGCATGAAATTGAAATAAGAAACTTTAGAAGTCTGGATTCAGTAGTTTTCATCAGCTAGCACTCGACATTTGCTGTCACTTTTCCTCTCGCATTTTTTGAGGGATAATCTCTTTCCCACTTAGACCGACATCAAATCAAAATAGTTAAAGTAAGTAAATTGTGTGTCTGTGCCTGTAGGGGGCGACCTTCTGCTTTTTACTTGAAAACATCGTAGACCAAAAATACTAACAACGAGGTATACCTGTACACCATAACCTTAAAATCCTGATGGTTGCTCTCACCTCACGCTGCATGACCCGATGTGTCACATGCGTTCATGACCTTCACTAGCTCTGTACAGATTCCACCGGGCGGCTGGTGACCCCAAACTGACCCCAGGTGTGAGGGTGCTTTCTCTCCCTTCAAAGCCTGCCTCATTTCACGTCTGATCCATTTAATGGGAAATGTGCATATATATACACACAACAATATGCAAGTAGCAACAGGCTCATACTAATAATATGTGTGTTTTTGTGATCTATTCCAGATGCCTAATCATTCATTTCTCTTTTATTATATAATTATACATGTGTTCCTGATTCTCT